GTGCTGCCACCTGCTGGCTGCTCCTAGTTGCTGCTCAGGCTGTCCATCTCTGAGAGGACACTGGAGCCATAGCACTAAAATGAAGCTGCGTAATATTAAAGATGAATGTTTATTAAAAGTACCACCAGATCTTAATTATGACTTCAGTGCTGTTCACAGTCAGAAAGCGACTTTGTTTGGTAAATCGGCTAACTCAGAGACTGAATATTTGGGCTTAATCTACATAATTTATAGTGACTCAGCCTCCAGTTTACACCTGACATTATCTCCAGTACTTGTAGTGTTTCTGAACCAGCAAATTCAGGTTATACTCCCTGTGTTCTGTCTGACCCAGTCAATGTGGATGTTCAAGAAGCTGCGCAGTGTTTGTGAGCTGGCTAATGCTACACTTCCTGTGACTGAGCATGAGTTGTCTCACTCTGTGTTATCTGAGTTGGTGTCCACAGTAAATGTTTGCAAGCCTGGTAAAACCCCTGAGTCAACTGTGTTTGAACCTGCTAATTTAAGGATGAGACTCAGTCATGGGGCCTCTCTAATCCATAAACCAAATATCCATGAAGCTAATCTTCCTGTGTTTTGCACTCCACAGAGGCAAAGCCTGCAACTGTACAAGTGGGTTTTTTTTCCTAAAGTCACCCCTGTACCATCTCCTCTGCCTGCTCCTGCTCTGAGGGTGGCTATGGTCCAGCACATCCTGTGCCTGCCAAGCATTCTGAGCCGCTGGCTCCGCTGGCCCCACAGTCGGCCTCCAGACCAGCTCCGTTGCTGCTGCTGGCCCCGTTTTGGTGCAACTCAGAAACCTTTATCCAAAACTCACTGGATGTAGTAAATCAGTAATTAAACTCAGATAACCCCTGAAGACTACTGCATTGCCACTGCAAGGTGACAAGTAAATTGGTCAACTGCCTGTCCAGTGAGAGCAGCAAACTCCAGGAAAGACCAATGAATGAATCAATGAGCACAGGAGACCAGTTCAATTATAGCAGAGAGAGGAACCACCAGTAATCAACCTGCAATGTAGTACCTAACACCAGTGCAACAGAACGAGGAAGAGATAATATACAGGGTGACACTGTGAGCTGATCGGCTACAGTAGCAAAATAGCAACAGTAACACTGATGCTGTCTATGTGGGAGTGTGTATGTATTGATTTAACTCTCATATAGATCTTCATGAAGACTGACATCTACGGCACTGACTTTAAATCTCACCCAAAAGCCAGAGGGGCCTCTGCCACTGCTGTGCCAGCAACATCCTGCAAAATGTGTGTTTTAGTAAAAAAAGACAGATATAAGGATCACAAGGAAGATGAAGATGAGGCTGGTGTGGATGGTTTAGATGGCTGACTGATGCAGTTAAAATAGAAGATAACATCAAACTGTTATGGTCTGGAGTCTAGTGACTCCGTGGTTATGTTTGTGTTTATTAATATTCACAATTTGATCTTGTTTCCTGGTTATTTGTTAACTATTTCCAGTGTTTAGGTGTTCTCTCTGCCTCTTGTGTCTCTTGTGTTGTGTCTAGTGTCCCTGGTTTGATGTTTGTGCTTATTTTACTTTGACAGTCCTGTGCCCTGCATCAGTGTATTGTTTTGCTTCTTCCTGCTCGTGTCTGATTTGTGTCAGCTGTGTCTCCCTCCCATTTCCTCATTTTCCCTTAGTGTGTATTTATTATGTGTGTTTACCTCTGTTCTTCGTCTCCATCTGTGTTTCCTTCATGTTTCATGTCTCATTACTTTGTAGTGTTGTGTAAAGCCAATAATAAAGGCTAGCTTTTTTTCAACATACACCCTCACACCATTTTGTGTGTGCTTGGGTCCTCATTCTCATCATGAGGTCGTCTGAGAAAAATGGCATATATCACAACTGATCAGAAAATTGCATGGCTGTATTAGAAACATGTTGGCCCTGTTTAGCAGCGAAGACAAGCAGGAAATAAGTCAGAGTGCCTGTTAGTGGTGTGATCACTGTGTGTTTCCTGATGTGCAGCAATACTGTTAAACCAGATGGGCATAACTACTCAAGCAGCTTTTCTTGCTCACTGAAAACTGCAGAAACAGAGGTGAGTCTTGCTGCTTGATCATCCTTAAATTGTTTGTACTTGTACATATTTCATGCTTAGCTTAAAAGATCACTTTTAGCGACTACTGACACCCGGAATAGAAATACTCTACACAGCTGCATCAGCATTACAAGTGGCCTCTGCCAATGTGCAAAATTAAAATCTAACATCTAATAAACTAATATTTGGTATTTCCTGAGGAAATCCCAGAGGAGAAACAGCTACTGGTTTCACCTTCCTCTTCTTGGCATGCTTTCTGCTGATCATAAATATTTGGATACAACTTTTGTTTACACTTCTGGGTGAAACACAAATGAAATGCCAGCATGAAACTTTGTCCAACATATGTGACTACTTAACACCTCCTTGCTCCGATCCTGTCACGTATGTGAAAGTGACTGTATCATCTATATACACACGCTTTATATATCATCACACAGACTGTGCAGCAATCCCATGTTACAAGCTCTTGATAAGAAGAACATGTTGTAGATCTGGAAATATGCAGACAGGATTATAACCAGTTATATGTTGTTATACCCTGTAATGCTCCGAGTAAAGAATTGTCTTGGTCCATGTTGAAATGATTGTTACGATTAGACTCGTGAGAGGAAGTGATTCATTTTTGCTTCCATAAATATAAACTGTACATGAAAGATGACATCACTAATGATTTCTATACTTTCATGTTAAGCTCTCAACTCTGCATTTAATGCTGCAAGACTGTAGGGTGCATCATATAGAAAGCAACCTGAGACATCTGTCTCAGGTTGAATTTAGTCAAACTGTCAGCAAACTTCCCCAGAAAGCTCCATGTATTAAAATTACATAAAAAGAGATGCAGTAGAGCTCAAAAGAATATTTAAAATGAGTTTGACTTTGTTTTGTTTAACAATAAAATTAGACTATGATGGTAAATCTGTTCAAAGAGAGAATAAAGTGGATTTGTTTTTCAGCTCAAGAAGCATGGCTGACTCAAAAAACATGACTTCATCTTTCAACCAGACCTGTGACCCAGTTGTCCCATCACTCAACACTTTCTTTGTACTGGTCTACAGTCTGGTGTTTCTGGTAAGTTTCTAATCTTCAGTGCTGTGTTAGAAATTGCTTGAAGGTTCTCAAAGTACTGTATGTACCGAAGTGATGTTCTCCCATCCTTTCTGTGTCATATTCAGGTGGGTTTACTCCTCAATGGCTTCATCCTAAAGTTTTACATTGGTCAAGCTCAGCAGCAGGCGTCAAACAGTTTGATGGTCTACCTGAAGAACCTGACAGCTGCTGACTTCCTGCTCTGCCTCTCTCTGCCACTGCGCATCGCCCACTGTGGTAGCAAGTCACTCATCATTCGAAGGCTCTACTGCAGCTTTGGAGCTTCTACTGTCTATGTCAACATTTATGCCAGCATCATATTCATGTGTTATATCGCTGCCAACAGGTAAAGGACCTGTACTGATTTCCCACTACAGTTCATGACAGTGTTAATGACTAAAAACCCTGCATTCCTGATGAAGGTGGAGACATCTCATTTTAACTTGATAATGACCTTTGCGAATATGGTACCACTGTGACTGCTTCGTGAAGTTATCTACTGTCTCCTCTGTCTTCTCTCTTCAGGTATCTGAAGATCGTCCATCCTTCAGGAACTCATGTCCTGCAGTCACTGCGAACTGCGCACATCATCTCCATGGTCACCTGGGTTTGTCTCCTGGCTCCATCAATTACATACGCCATCGTCTTTTTCATCACCCAGAAACCTCTGACGTTTACCCCCAGCCACTGTGGGGCCCTCTTTAGTGCATCAATCAGCCTGTTCTTCAAAATCCTCCAAACCATCTGCACCATCATCTTCTTGTTGGTGTCCATATTCCTGGTCTTCTTCTACTACAGCACCTCCCGCAGGGTGTTGCAGGCACAGCAGAGGCAGCTCGCCTCCTCTGGCTCTGAGAAGCTGGTGAAGTCTCGCAGGAACATGTTGGTGCTGGTCAGCATCTTCTGTGTTTGCTTTGTCCCCTTTCACCTGGTTCGACTTCCCTATGCTTTTCTTTTGAACAGCTGCTCTGTTGGTCCAGTGTTGTTCTACCTGAAGGAGGCAGCCACCATGCTGTCAGTTTTCAACGTCTGTCTGGACCCTCTGGTTTACTTTTTCCTCTGTAAGACTTTTCGGGCCCAGGTGAGAAAGGCGTCCAGGAGGACCAACATCCAACAAGCAAACACAGAGAGTCAGAGCACTGAGGAGAAACTGAGCATCATTAAGAGCAGCAAGTCAAACCAGTGAGCTGCAAGGAAAAAATCAAGTCATCACAAAGGCAGGACTAGATTTTATTCAGGTTTTCTTTTTGTTTTAAGGATCAAATGAGTAATCCAAATTCTTTATATAGCACAGGAGTTTCTGCTGAGCTGCAGTAAAGGGCTGAATCAGCCAAATTCCACCTATTAGTACAACATGTGATTTAACATGAATAAACTGAACCAGTCTATGATAAACATCATACAAACAATGCATGGTGTCAACACAGTACCCCATAAATGCCAAAGCTGGCCACCTCGAGTTTCCCTCTACCAGGTGTCTGTTTCTGTAAAAAAATATTTTTGTACACACTATATTTTAACACATTTTGCTGATATAAAGACTTGGCAATAAGTAAGGAATAAAGTAGAAATGTGACAATTAAATATTTTCTGAGTTTTTACTTTTTACCCCTGAGTCACCTCAAACACACCAGCATTCATCTACAGGCAGTCCGATCATTGTTTATCTCATAATACCAGGTGAAACATTCACAGCTATTTCCTCTGAAGGAAGTTGTAACTCTTTTTCACCAGTGGTTGGAGATGGGAGTTCTAATCTGCTGAAAATCAGTAACTGTTACAATATAGGATAGGATTCAACTTTATTGCCATTACACATGTATAAATGCAGGGTCATGAAATACAGTTTGCATCTAATCAGAAGTGCAAGAGTAGTAAGTGCAATAACACAAATGTACAGATGATCTGTATAACATATAGATGTTCTATATTACTGTACAGATGAGCAGATATACAGATGCACCATGAACAATTATACAGATTTTCTAAATAGATGTGCTACATATAGACCAATATACCGGTGTGAGTTAAACAGATCTACAGAGTCCTATGAGTGTACGCACCATAACAGAGACTATGCCAGTGTCCTAAACTATAACAGTAACCACTGTGAGCATATGGTGAATGTTGAGAATGAATGACAGTCATGATCATGGTCACTGGGAGGGATAGGGGGGTGTGGATGGAAAGGTTCAGCGGGAGATTGAGTTCAGTGGGGTGACAGCTGTGGGTAATAAGCTGTTCCTAAACCAGCTGGTTTTAATCTGCAGGGTCCTGTAGCGTCTTCTGCAGAGGAGGAGCTGGAAAAGTTTATTGTCAGGATGAGAGGAGTCCCTGAGAATGATGCATGCTCGTGTATACCTCTCTTCTTGTGGACATCCTCAATAACAGGAAGTGGTGTCCCTGTGATGTTTTGGCCGCTGCAGTGCCTTGCGGTCAGCAGCAGAGCAGTTCCCATACCAGACTGTGACACAGTTGGTCAGGATGCTCTCTATCGCACACCAGTAGAAGTTTGCCAGTATGTCAGTAGACAGGTGGTTCTGCTACAATGTCTTCAAGAAAAAGAGGCACTGATGGTTGACAGATAAAATTATTTCATGGTGAGACCTGAAGGAGTCAACTGTGCCAAAATGAATTAATTAAATACACCATTAAAAAATTAATTAAATGTGTCAATAATTAATTAATTACATGTGTCGTAAATATTTATGTAATTAATTTTTTCCGATTTTAATTAATTATTGACACATTTAATTAATTATTTAATGGTGTATTTAATTAATTCATTATGGCAGTCCTGGCCCTGCGGCTGTCTTCAAGAATTTATTTTATCTGTCAGCCTCACCCATCAGGTGGCCAAGTCAGGGGGCGGGGTTCACACTGAT